ACTCGAGGGCTGCGGAACTTCGCGCGTGGACGCCGAGGAGGCCCGCAAGAAGTCTCCGATGCCGCTCTGGCCGCCTCCACGGAGGGGGGGAGGAGGTGAAGCGCCGCCGCCTCCCAGACGCCCCGAACGGTCCAGGTCGTCTTTGATTTGGGTGAAGACTTGGAGGCGATGGTCAGCCATCTGTCGGAGAAGGAGAAGGTACCCACACCTACAACCTCGCCCGTGTTCTCTCTTTTGAGTCTCCTTGGAGACCATCGTCGCCACCGCTGGGTTCGCCTCGAAATCCTGGACAGAGCGCACCCAGGGAGTGGTCCGGGGGGTAGCAGTATCGGCACCTTTTGGTTTCCCAACTTTGGGGGCCCTCTGACAGGGAAACCTCCCAGACGCGGCGCCAGGCCTGCCTGCGGAGGTCGAGGCGGCCGCCCAGAGGCGATCTTCGGACACACTCTGGGGACTTGCAAACGTTAAGGCGCCGGCAGGCGCTTGTGCGCCTCTTGGGGAATTCCGCGCGCCGATCCGATAATTCTGCGCGACGCCCGACGTCGCGCGAAATCGTCGACCGCCGCGCAAAACGGTGGATTTGTAGCCTCTAGCGCTCGGCATGGAATGAAGCACGAGGGATGCCTTGCAAGCTGCAAGGCAGCAGCAGCTGCAGCAGCAGCAGCAGCATGCTCTGCAGGCCGAGGGAGAGCGCCTGGCGGCCAGGCAGCGCAAGGTGAGGGCAGGGGCCGGTGCAGCTGCGTCGACAGGAGCTCTGGCCAGCCTGGACGGCGTCGGTGTCGCTCCCGAGGCGCGGGCGCCGGCAAGCGGAGCCTGTCGCGCCTGCCGCGGCGCCAGCGCCAGCAGCAGCGGGGATCACAGCGCCCGCTGCAGCGCTCGCGGCGGACAGCAGAGAGGTGCTGACGGCCAGGACACCAAGACTCGAGGCCGAGCGCGATGCATCCTTGGCGGAGGCTCGGGCTAATCGTCGTTGCGCTTGAAGGGGCGCCCAGGTCAAGAGCCTCAAGCCCCCTGGCGTGCTGCAGGGACGCCCTGTCGGCTGCCCTCCGTGCACGGCCCTGTGGCGACGCCGCTCTTGGGCATGATGCCTCCGTGTGCGTCTGTCTACATGCGGAGCCTGCGTCCCGGTCGCCCATGCAGTCCCAGAGGTGCGACGTGCTCATTGTCTCGGACGCTCACGGCGCAGCTGGGGCCTTGGAGTTACATTCTGGGGAGTGGCCGTCGTTTGGTCATCTGCCCGCCCCGCGCCTGGAGGTATCACGATAACATGGGTGGCTTATCTCAGCATGAAGCCTGGAGTCGTCGCCTTTGAGCATTCCTAGCCAGACCAGCGGGTGGGCTCCAGGGTCGATGGCGAAGGCAACAGCGTCGTTGGTTTCTACGAGCTTGTTCCGCAGACCATGCATGCCGTATCAGCTGAACAGTGGGAAAGCGACCCGGGCCCCCACAACTGTTGATCTTCGATGTCAGCGTCTTGCAGCCTGGCCGGTGTGCGTCAGGGCAGGCGCCCCCGCGAGCGAGGCGTTTGCCGTGGACCTCGCCTGAAGCTCCTCACGTGGGGGGGGCGGTGGGCGCTTTTCACGCGCTCGTCAGTGGTGATAGCCATCCCGTGATAGCCATCCCTGGCGTCCCTCTGGGAGAGCAGAGGCTCTCGCCCACCGTCGGCCGGGACAGGCACCTGCTTCGATCTAAGTGCCGAGAGCGGCGTGGCGCAGTGATCTCGGCGGGCGCTGCGGCCGAGGGCGGAAGCACGGCAGCTGCTGCTCGGTGGGGCACCCTTTTTCCCTCGGTGTCGTTTGACCGACCCCTATCCTTTCAGGAGGAGAAAAAACACGCAGACACAATGAACCGTCGATTCCCTAGAAAATATAGGAAAACATTGGCAGTGGGGGGGAAGACAAGAACCCAGAAAATATTGGAAAATATGAGGTGTCCTTTTATGTGTGTGTATTGATTGGTGTGTCCCAGGGCCACTTCATCCTTACGCTGCTCGCATCGTGCTCGAGGACCACGTCCCAGAAATGGTTTCGAGCACCCAGGGAAGTGCCGCCTCCCGGGGCCCGACGCGTGAAGACCCTCAAGGTTCTGCATTTTCCCAGTGCTCGAAACTATTTCGAGAGATCAAGGCTAAAGCAGGTTGGAACATCATAACCCTATCCCATCCCCATCCCGATCTCCACCATCCCACCACCCCAGTTTGGAATGTGCTCCTCGAAGCCCGAAGGGAGCCGCCTACATCCCCAATTCGGGGGCAAATCGGCCAGTGGGGCCCAGGCCACTCCAGCGGGGAGAGGGATCGGTGAAACGAGGCTCAGATTCCCGTCTGTTGGGAAACCGCCAACTTTCACCCTTCTCTCGGAGTCCACTACAGCAAAACAAATCCCCGGCGTCTGCTTCGCTCGATGATCCTCAGGACGCGTGTGAGCCCACTGTGTGTGTTACCCCCTCCAGCCCCACCAGCAGATGCTTACATGGCCTGCGCCGTACCGAAGGGCCTCGATGCACAAGCACACACGCTGGGGCCAATGCACGCGTGCGGAGCATCCACGAGGCGCGCCCTCCTTCGGCCCCGCGCGGGTCCACCTGCACACGCTGCGCTGCGCCGGGGCGCCGCGGAGCTCGCTGAGCTGGGGGCCTCGGCGCGCCGTCGGGGGGGACCTGCGGAGCCCGCCGCCGGACGACCGGCGGGGGGTCCTGGCGATCGCCGGCGCGAGCGGGGGCGAGCGCCCGCTGCGGGCCCCCGCGCGCGCGGAGCGCCGCGGCCGGGCCAAGGCGCGCTGCTCGGGCCAGCGCCTGCTGCCCCCCGCGCGCCGCGCGTCGCGGGAGAGAGGGCGCCGCAGACACAACCTCGTGGCGCCGCGCGCGGACCTCTGGGATCCGCGCTATGGGCCTCCCCCGGCGGCGCCTCGAGCTGCGCCCCTGGAGGGCTCCGCGCGCCCGGGAGGGGCGGGGCGCACACGGCTTAGTTCATTATGTGCATGCAGTTTTTTTTTTTGTTGTTTTTTTGTTTTTTTTTTCTCCTGGCGGTGCAAGGGGGGGCCCGTGGTGGCCCGCTGCCGGGGCGCCGCCGGGCGAGGGGCGCGGGCTGGTCCGCGGCTCCACGTGGGCGACGCAGCGAGACGGGGTCGACGGCGCCGGCATCGGCGCGCCAGCTGCCCGCGTCAGGTCGCGCGCAGGCGCCCTCGTCTCCACTGTGGCGTGCCGCGCCGGCGGCCCGCGCAAGGCGCCGCGTAAGGTCCAGTGTTTTCGAAGCTCGGGTGGCTCTTGGAAAAGGAAGCTGCCCGACGCTGAGTCGCGATCCGCGGCTACCCAGCGTACCGGGCCGCACGTCACGACAGCGCTCGATTGAGCCCGACGCCGCCTTGCGGCGACCAGCAGCGGCCACGGCCACAGCCTCCGGCACGCGTGGGCCAGGCTCTTCAAGCTCGAGACGCACCCCTCGGCCGACGACGCTGTGCAGCGGGGCGTTGGCACCCGAATCTACATGCGCAGTGCACCCGCTGAATCTGCCACTGGCCCGTTTGCATATGCATGCCAGGTCTCGGGCAGCGACTTGGCTTACACTTCGAATCTCGGGCCGGGCGAAAGGGGGGATTGGGAAAGGGGGGGTTACGAAATTTGCTGCATGCAGCTAGTTTCGGCCTCACCGAGGGGCCCATTCCTCGATACATAGCCGCCTCCGGCGCCGGGAGGCGCCGGGAAAATCAGCTACGTGAGCTGATTCTCAAACCCCCCCTTTGCTATCCCCCCCTTTCGCCCGACCCGACTTGCGCGCGGGGTAGCTAGGCTTTCAATGACAGTGCCAAGGCCGACCGCCGGCGTCCAGAGCTTGCTCGGCCTCCTGCCCCAGCCAGGCGCATAATTATCAGGAGGGGAAAAAACACACAGACACAATTAATCGGCGATTCCTAGAAAATATGGGAAAATATGGGAAGTGGGGGGGAAGACAAGGACCCAGAAAATATGGGAAAATATGGGGAATCTTTTTATTTGTGTATATTTATTTGTGTGTCCCAGTTTCCCTTCAAACAAGTTGCAGAAATTGGCAGGGCAACCCGAACATCATCTCACGTAGTTCTCGTTTCGGCCCGCTAGTCGCCTTCGCGACCTGTGGCCGTAGTTCGCCGCGGACCAAGCTCGAAAACGTCCCGGGCCCGCTGCCGCAGCATTGCGACGCCATCCGGCCGCTTTTCCAGCACGAGCCGTTCTTTGAAGCGCGCGGGGCCCAAAAACGAGCTCCCGGAGGCCCGAGCTCGAGCCGCGGGATGTCTGCGCGCGAGCCGCCGAGTCTCATCAATTGGACGCGACGATACGGGCGAATGAGCACAGCCGCATGGGGGAGACGGCGTAGTGCTTGAAGGGTGGGTGTTTCGCGACCGATGCAGTGCGTGCCCTCGGTGCCCCTTGCTGTGGAAAGAGGGCGCGACCTGCGCAGCGGGCCTTGGCACAAATTTCGAGTGGCGTGCGCCCTGGCGTCACGCGTGCCGCCCTTCAACAAGAAGGGGTCCAGCGTCGCGGCGGCAGGCGCGACAACTTTGAGTGGTTATAGGGCGTTGTTTGTTCGACGGCAAACGAGCAAGGTTAACAGTGTACCTTGGCTCGGTTCCCGTCGAACGAAACAACCCCTCTCTCTGATGCTCTCCCCGCTCCCCACCCCTCGTGTCGTGTCCTTCCCTTCGTCTCCCTCCCCGCCCCTCCCCTCCCTCAGGTCATCCCATATCCCACTTGTGAGGGCGGTGGTCTTGGTACTCCAGATTTCGTAATAAAGGGAGGGGGGTCTCATTTCGGGGGAGGATCTCTTCCAGGCTATCTTGGAGGGCCTGGGGGGTTCTGGGGACGATGTTTTGGAGGGTTCTCCCACGGGGGGATGTCTGAAATGGCTTGTCTTGGAGGGTCCAGACCCCCTCCCTTTTACTACGAAATCTGGAGTACTCCCTTCTAATACATCCCTCTCCTCCGTGGCTTCCTCCCAGGCGCGTCCCCGCCGGCTCGGGCGAGCCATGGATCTCCAGGACACGGGAGGGGACCGGAGGGCGAGATGGCGTGTGGAGCTCTGGACGCAGGGGCACCTGGAAGAAGCATGTGGCTCCATGGGTGCCGTGCACGACCCTCTCTACAGCGTGCGCGCCAGTCGTGTCCGAAGGATTGCAAAAAAAACCGAAGGACTGTAAAAAAACCGAAGGATTGCAAAAAAACACCCAGGATTGCGGAAAAAAAACCGAAGGATTGCAACAAAAACCTTCGCCCAGGGTTTTTTCTGCAAACCGAAGGTTTTTTTTGCAATCCTTTGGTTTTTTTGCAATCCTTCGTTCAAGTGTCGGCCGGCTGCCCGCCCCCGGCCCCTCGTCTCGTCTCTGCAGCGCGCCCCCTCGCTGCACTCGTTGTTTTCCTTTGCCAGTGCGTGTATCGTGTCCGCCGCGTTGCCCTGGCTCAGCCCCCGGCAGCCGCAGCCTGCACCCCCACCCTCCGGCCCTGCCCGCCGTGGTGATGCCTGAGGCCCCGCCGCTTTAGGTATTTCGTCTTTGCGCGGCCGGGTCTGACTCGACTCGCCGTGTGCGCTTTCGCTTGCGGCTGCTGACTAAAAAAAGTGTATCGTGTCCGCGCAGGTCGGGTCACCAGCTGAAAACATGCAATCCGAATAGTTGCGCAGCGTGATGGGCGGGGAGGGATTTGGTTGCAGCGGCTGGCATGCGCAGTCGACAGGACGAGTTGAGGAAACGCAGAAGAGGCGACGCCGCGGACAACAATCAACCGTATAACATCATGACTTCAATTCCAGACCAACACACTGAAGGTGACGTCCATACCCACATGAGACCGTCGTGCTTCATTACACCGGCTCTATGTCCTAAGAGCATTGCCGTTGTTGTTCGAGTTGTTTGGTTCCAAGGGCACTCCGTCGTGGTTGGCCTAGAGGAGTGTCGGGACGGTCGGCCCCTGCTCAAGATGGTCTGGCGAGTGGGGGCAGCATCTCCGAGAGTGTCTGTCGGCTGCGAGCCCTGGGGGGAAGACGCAGGGGGCAGGCCTTCCCACAAGGCTCGGAAGGCCCCCGGGCCTCCTGAGAAGTCTTCTGAGCCGTCTCCGAAGACAGAGGCGGCGTCTCGGAAGGCCCCGGGGGCTCCTGAGAGGCCCCGCCGCCTCCTCTCAAAAGGCCTGCCCCCTCCCCCCCCTTGGGCTCGCCGCCAGGTCTGCGCGCAGAGCAGCTCGTGGTTCGGGAAGGGGTCGTCGATGAGTCCGTGCGCGACGCGGCGGCAGGCAGTGCCCAGCCGCGTCGGGCCGGGGCGCGGCCGCGGCAGGACCAGCGAGAGATCGCCGACGCGCTGCTGTCCACGAAGGCGGCGCGCCCTGTGCTGCCTCACGCCGTGGAATCAAACAGCAAACAGAGATACCCATCGGTCGTTGAAAGTAGGATTTCTGGAGTCCCGGATTCCAATCTACTTTGAGTGCCTCCCTACGTCAATGATCGAGTGGCTTCACCTCTTCCGTCCTCCTCAGGGGGCGGGCGGGCACCCAGTCTACTTTCAACACCTTCCTACTTCAGGTTTCTGCCTACTTCTCCGATGGGTGCACGGCATGTTTCAGGACCAAGGCGAAAAGCACGGTCGTTGCGACGCACGCCGCTTGAGGCGGCTCACGGGCCGGTTTCTTTACGGTCCAGGTGCACGTTGCGTTGATGTTTCCCCTCGCCAGGCGTGGTTGTCGAACTACTGCATGCTACTGCTCGCAGCTGCGTTCGTCGCATCCACCGTTCTCTTCGTTGCGATTTCGTGTTGTGATTCCCTTTGCTGCTTTCGGCCTCCGGAGGGCCGTCAAAACGACGACTCGGGATGAACACTGGGTCCCCTGGGGAAGGCGGCAGCTCACCGCGGGTCCACGCTGCGAGACAGGTCACATCTATCCCCACCGAAAGTGGGCCACGGTATCCCATCTTCACCAGCCCAGCCTCCCAGGTGGGGATATGGGCAACAGGCCCCGCGGAGCCCGAAGGAACGGGCATCCATCCTCACCTGGGTGGGTAAGGCGGCCAGTGGGGCCAAGGCTGCGCCAGTGGGGACAAGGATCAGCTACACAAGCGATGCCCAGGAGGTCGGGCTCTCGGAGCCACCCGGGCTTGGCCCTCGATGCGAGGCCAGGAGTTGTGTGCGTGTCCACCGCCTGCGGCATCGACGCCACAGCACCCCTGGAGGCGGTCAGCTGGATGTGGGCATCTTCCCAGGCCACCCGCGGGGATCAGACCTCAGACCCCAGAACGACAGCGACGACGACGACGACGACGACGACGACGACGACGACGACGACGACGACGACGACGATGGCGATGACGACGACGACGACGACGACGACGACGACGACGACGACGACGACGACGACGACGACGACGACGACGTGGAGCGTCGCGCTTCGCGCCCCGCGCGGCCGGGGCCCAGGCGCCTGCCCCCGTGCTCCCATAAGGGGGGCAGCGCGAAGGCGCGAGCGGGGGGGGGTCCAGCAGTGGCGGAGCGACCTGGCACGCCTAGATATATAGGCCCACCAGAACATGTTCTGAGAACCCACGAAGCAGGCCCGGGCCAGGGAATGACCTCCGAGTCCGCGGCTCTCCGAGGCCTGGCGCGCCTCTAGGCCCACCAGATAATGCTTGAAGACCTGCGGGGGGGGCAGGAGGAGGAGGGAGTTAGGAGGGACGCGGGGCGCGGTCTCTCCTGAACGAGGACCCAGCCTCACAGGATGCCTCGTCCCCCTCCCCCTCCTCCCCCTCCTCCTCCTCCTCCTCCTCCTCCTCCTCCTCCTCATCGTCTTCGTCCTAGTCCTAGTCCTAGTCCTCGTCCTCGTCATCGTCATCGTCATCGTCATCGCGGGCGGGCGCCCGCGGTGCGCGCGCCCGCCCGGCCCCCGCCCCGCCCCGCGTGCGAGCACGCTGCATCGCGTGGTGTGCACGAGGTGTTCTTAGAGCATCGGGCTGAGGTTCTCAGATCGGGGGGTGGATAGACCTCCTACCCTGACACGTCGATTGAGGAATCGGCCGTTTTCGGTTCGCCAGGGGGCGTCGCGGCCTTTCTTCTTGCGGGTCCAGGTCCGGCGGTTTCGGTCCTCTGGGTTGTTTTCCCTGAGGGGAGGTCAACTAAGGGGCGGTTTGCCCACCGCCGATCGGAACACTGCTTCTGCTCCCTTAGAGCATGTCCAGGTTCTGATGCGTCACCCCCACCCAGCACTGCCGTTTGTTGCCCCGTAGCCACCGAAGGCTCCAGTGGCACCACCCGCGTGCGTCACCCCCAGCCAGTACAGCGCTTCGTGGCCCCATAGGGAGCTCCACTGAATGTCCCAGCGGCGGTGTCCGCATGCGTTTCCCCCTCGCCCAGTACAGCGCTTCGCGATCCCAGAGGGAGATCCACCGAAAGCCCCACTGGCGGTGTTCGCATGCGTCCCCTGCACTGCATACAATACAGCGCTTCGTAGCCCAAAGGGCAGCTCCACCGAAGGCCCCAATGGAGGCGTCCGAACGCGTTTCCTCCGCCCGGTGCACCATTTTGCGGCCCCCTAGGGAGCTCCAGAAAAGGCCCCAGAGGCGATGTCCGTATGCGTTTCCCCCACCCACCCAGTACAGCGGTTCGTTGCCCCATAGGAAGCTCCACCGAAGGCCCAAGTGGCGGTGTTCGCATGCATCTCTCACTGCCAGTACAGCACGGGAGCTCCACCGAAGGCCCCAATTGAGGTGTTCGCATGCGTTTTCCCCGCCCAGGACAGCGCTTCGTGGATCCACAGGGGGCTCGACCGATGGCCCCACTGGCGATTTCGCATGCGTGTCCCCTGCTCAGTGGAAAAAGCTTCGTGGCCCCATAGGGAGCTCCACCGAAGGCCCCAGTGGCGACGTTCGCACGGCGGCCTCGCTCGATTTCTGCACACCACTTATACGATTCGTGGCCCCATATGGAGCGCCACCGAAGGCGCCAATGGCTGCGCCTGCGTGCATCCCCGCCCCTCGCGCCACTGATCTGGGTAAACACCTGTGGTGGCACCTGCCCCGACGCCGCGGTCGTGGATGCGTCGCCTTGGGGTTTCGGTGCCGCTCGGGGTCGGCCCCCGCCAGGACTCGCCCAGCAGGCCGGACGAACCTCGGAGCGGAGGGGGGCCCGCGAGACCTCCCAGAGGGGCCGGCGTAAGACCCGGTCGAGTTCACGAGGGCCCGCCAGTCTCAGGATTGCATCCGCGATGGCCGGGTCGCTTTTCGGCGTTCGGCGACTTCGAGGACGCCCCCTTGGAGATCCTTCGGGTCCTCTGCAACATCCGTGTGCTAGCTCGACATGGGAGCGGCCCTGCGCGGCCCTCGAGGCCGAGGCCTTGTGTTGCGCGGAGTGTGTCGCCGGCTGCGATCCGTCGCCAACCTGGACTCGGGGCTTCTCGTGGATCGGAGATTCGATACAGGCCGCACCCTGCTTGCAAAGTGTCGGCATAGCCTTCCAAGGCCCTTGGATCCTTCACGTGCGTCCTTCTTATACGGGTTGATTGTTTTGGAAAGTCGTATCAGGCAGTGGCGAAGCGTCCCGGCTCGCATTTAGCCCTACCAGACAATGCTCTAAGATCCTTTGGTGGTTTCCACGAAATGTTCTAAGAACATGTTTGACTGGGATGGTCTTGTTTTAACACATCGGGCTTATGTTCTAAGGACATGGTCCTTGTGATTTGAACATTTTTGGGTTCTAAGAACATGTCGTGGTAGGACTATAGGAATGCCAGGACGGTCGGTCCCCGCTCAATTGTGAGCTTCGGAGCATCTCCTGCCCTGCCCCGCCGATCTGGGGCATCTCGCCGCAGCCTGGCTCTGCCGCACCGGTCTGGCGCGGGGTCTCGCGGCCGCCTCTGGAGCCCAGGGAGGTGGGCGTGGTTCCTCCCTCCTGCCTCTCTCCTTTCCCTCCTCCTCCTCCCACCCTCCATCTCCCTGATCTGTTCCTTCTCCCCTCCCCCTCCCTCTCCTCCTTCTCCTCCTGCTCCTCCTCCTCCTCCTCCTCCTCCTCCTCCTCCTCCTCCTCCTCCTCCTCCTCCTCCTCCTCCCCCTCCTGCTCCTCCTTCTCCCCCACTGCATTTCCCTGCCCTCTTCCTCCTCCCCCTCCCTCTCCTCCCTCTCCTTCTCCTCCTCCTCCTCTTCTCCTCCTCCTCCTCCTCCTGCACCTCCTCCTCCTCCGTCCTGTCCGCTCACGCGCGCATCCGCCGCCGAGGGGGACGTGGTGAAGCGCCAGCAGGCAGCTCTCAGGCGATGTCCCGCCCATGGAACTGGCAAGGGCGGGGGCAGCAAGTCATGAGTGCGTCTGTCTCGCTCTCTCTCTCTCTCTCTCGCTCTCTCTCTCTCTCTCGCTCTTTCTTCTTTCTCTCTCTGCCCACCCGCCATTGAGGAATCACCTCGTACTTGCTCAGCCCAGAACCTCCATGCTGCAGCTGGTATGTCTCGTCCTTGCCGTTCTTCGCAGGCCGTTTCAAGGAAGCGGAGTGCCCACGACACCTTCATAGCATTTTCGTTTGGTGCGTCCGTTCCTTGCGACAGGGATTTGATGGCAGCAGCGTTCAACATTCTTGGATTCTGATCGCACAAACGAAACTCCTCCGAGTTTTGACTACGTCGGCCGTCCTGACCGTCGGCGTCGGGAACCATGAGGTTCAGCACATCCTAGACTTAAATGTGCGTTCATTTCGATTCCGATTGCAATTTTTGATGTTCGTCCTTATGTTGTTCTTCAGGCACCACTGCCCCCAGCGTTCCAGTTGATCTGCGAGCAGGCCGACCTCTTCTGTCTCTTGCAGCAGCTTGTACCCCGCCGACACGACGTGAAAGATGGCTCGCGTCCGTGAACCGCACCTCCCCCGTGTTCTGTGCAGTGCCAGGTTCAGCGCTGTGGCTGCGGAGAGGGCGCGTAGGAATTCCCAGCGCGAGGACATGACACGGCCAGGGGCAGACACATCAGACGATGCTGGCGACCGTCGAGTCCGCCGACGGTATGGTCGGTCGGCGGAGGCGAAGTCAGAGACACAGGTATCGGACGCAGGAGTCGACCAGATGATGGACACGATGTGTCATACCCCCATCTGTCGACCCAGGGAGTTCCTGCGACCCAGAGTTCAACCAGGAGAGGCAGCAGGACATCTCAGGAACAGATGTTCCAATCGGGGGAAGTATCGGAATGCAAGAGCCTACCTCGTTCCACGTTCATGGCTACCTTGCGCGAGTGCGCCGGTCGTCAGCCTAAGCGAATGCGTGTGCTGAGAGGTGCAGCCCTGTAGAGCTCCATTGGGGTTGTTCTCATCATGTCGAGCATAGGCAGCATTCGTCACGCTCTGTCTATCCAAGCCCCTCCTCGCTGGGCCAGGAAAGCTTTCCAGATGCTTCCACCAGAACGGGCTTTTGCGATCTGTGACCAGAGTGAAACGATTATAGAGACATGTAGTTTCGAGATGTTTCGAGGCGACACATCTCCTCACGGTGCAGCTGGCTACCTTCTCGGATCCCATGTTCCCCACTATGTTGGAAGGGCAGCATCTCGGATTAGTCAGTTCTTTGCAGTCCCAGGGAGTGTTCAAGAGCATACGAGTGCGTTCGTACACCCCCGTGTGAGACCAGGAAGCGCACCCAGGTACAAGACGACGACCCCCATCATGGCGACGACCCCCTCCCGCGACGCACTCCCTCACTGGCGGGGGCGACGGCAACCCCAGGTGTCCCCTTCACCCGACTGATCTCGACAGGCCCTCTAGCACGGTCCCTTGGGGCTTTTTCGCAATTGTGCCCTACCAGTTGATGCCTGCATGTCCGCGGAAGGTTCCACCCAACCCAGGAGGAGAGCCCGCATTGGGTCTTAGAGCCCTCTTGCCTTGGTCTTCCACTTTCTTTTGTAGCTGCTCGATGGCGGCCATCACGCTTGTGCGCGTCGGCCAAGGCCGCCTCCCTTACCCCAGGTGTGTTGTCCATCGTTACCCGGGTCATGATGTCGAGCTTTCGCATACACCTACATTTGAAGATGCTTGGGCTACCGCTAATTTGACGTCCGATGCCTAAGTTTCTGCTTGCCCTCCTCGAGCGTGGTTCCCAGAGGATGGTCAGAGGTTCGACCCGAGCGATGGCTAAACACATGTTTGTCGAGCCCGCTTTTACCGGATACGGACAGCCGCCCCGCGCCATCTTTGATGGATGAATTTGGAGCGATCGTTTGTTCAGCTAGCCGCTCATGTGCAGGGTACCGCTCTGAATCCAAATCCCCGTCGGTCGCAGCATTTCGCTTCGTGGCATGCCCGTCTAAGTTCCGGCATTTTCCAGGATTGTTGAGACTACCAGATTACCAGCACATGTCGTTCTTCGGGTGCCACGTGGGAATGCAACAGAGGGGCGCTTTATAGTGGTATCGAGCAGCCCAGTCTGCTCCGCCAGTAGTTTGACGTGGTACTGGGTGCCTCAAGCGGCTCTGCATCGATGTCGGCCAACCAGATGCAAGTACCGTCGGCCAAGCAGATGGCAACGTCGGGATTGCGGATGGTAAGCAAGCGGTTATGGCATGGATGGCAGATGGCGTTGGTGATGCCAGATGGTTGCATACAAAGGCTGGCTGGATAAGGATTGGAAGGTCAGCCATATGATTCCCAAGTCTGATGCAGCAGCGTGTGGCCGTGGACCAGGGCCTCTGGGGGCGTCGCGAGCGGCCCCGCTCCGAGAACATGATGCCCCACCCCTCCCGCGGGACGGTGCCCTTCCATCTTGCCCCCGCGGTGAAGAGTACGTGCTTTTTTCAAGATGCCACCCGCGGCCGCGCGAAAGAATGGCGCAGCTGCGCTCGCAGGATCGATCGCCCCGCTAGTGCCCCAAGAATAACTTGGCGCGCGAGCGGCGCGCCGCGCGAAGACTTCGACGCGCGTGGCGCGTCGACTGGAATCCGTGCAATCACTCTCAAAAGCCGCTGGGGGGCAATTGACCGCCCTGATTTGGCCGGCCGGCGCCGAAACGATCTGGCTTTTGCGGGAAACGCGCGCGCACTGCGCTCCGGGTTGGGGCTGCGACCGAATTCTCTACTGTCGGGTCTCTACCCGCGGCGCTTTTTTTAGCGAGTGGGGCGCTGAGAGCGCGCGTCCACGTCGGCGGCTCGCGCGGGGGTGCGAGGGAGAAGCCCGAACATGTAAAGGGGGATAGATAAATGGGGGCGAGGGGGGGTAGAGAAGGATGAGAAGGATGAGGAGGATGATTTGCTCGATGATGGATTTTCGGAAATATTGATTATGGGGTTGCGATGGATAGAAGTAGAACGCATGGCGCTATCTGAAAATATCTCGAACTGCCGATAGAAGCGCACCTTAAAACGTGGGGCGCGGCGCGTTGCGGCTGCGCTTCGCACCTCGCGCGTCGGGGGTGGCCTCAGCTCATGTCGCGCATTCAACGCGGGAAAACTTGCATGCGCAGTGCGCGTTCGCGCGACCGTGCCCAACGGGCACCGCCGCGCGCCCGCGTGCGTGACGCGCCCTTCGGCTCGAGCTGCGCGGAAACACCGGTCAACAAAATGCGCGGGGGGAAATTCCAACCGTTGTTCGCGCGAAGCGTGTGCAGACGGGGCCGCGTCTCGGGCCGCAGGGGCCGCGCGCGGTTTTCAAGGGGTCCGCGGGGGGCCCCGGGGTGGCCCGCGGAGTCGACCAGAGTAGAGCACCTTAGGCGGCTGTTTCAGATGCTCCACTCTGGCTCGCTCTCGCCCCCCCCCGGGGCCCTTCTGGGGCCATCTCGGGCCCCCCGACAGCTTCAAGGGCGCCGCGAAGGATGGCGAGACGGCCGCATGGCCAACCAGAGTTGAGCCACTGGAGCCCCTGCAGGTTCCTGTCGCGCCCGTCGAGAAGCCCCTCGGAGGCCTGGGGGCTTCGAGAGGCGCTGAGCATAGTGGGGCGCTTGAAACGGCCGTTTCAGATGCTCCATTGCGGGTCGCTCTCGGGGCCGTCTTCGGGCCCTCTTGGGGCCGCGTTGCCAGGGGGGTCTCGAGCGGGCCGTGAGACGGCCCCAACCAGGCAGAATGCGGCCTTTCAAGGTGCTCTCTTTTCCGGCTCGCTCTCGGCGTCCTTCGGGGCCCCATCCCGGGGCCTTGTTGGAGCAATATTGGAAGCCCGAGGGCGCGCCAAGGGAGCTTGGGAAAGGGCTCCAGACCGGCCCAGCACGTGAACAATATTGGAGCGTCTGAAAAAAGTAGCGGCATATCTCCGAGTCTCTGCCCGAGGCGCAAGTTCCCGCGCGGGCCCGCCATGTGCAAACAGGAGCGACTGCTCAGCGCGTGAATGCTTTAAGAAAATGCAAGCCAGGCGGTTGAGCAATGCCGCGCTTGACGTCGCCTCCCAACCCCGGCGATTCGTCGAGGCCAGATGCGTAGACACGTCGCCAATTCACTCGTTGTCTTTCTGGGGCATGCCAGCGACGCGCAGGCAGTTGATTCGCGACGGGCAACCGAAAGCACCACCAGCAACAGTTTTAAACCAAAGTGATGCAGTGAGGCGACTCGCCCTCGCGTTGAACGGCCGGTTGCAAGGGCGGCTCGCCACTATGTGTATCCTAGATCACGTTGGGGGGCGCAGCGCATTCATTGGAAAGTCGTAGCCCCTCGCCTGCGGTCGACCGCGGTCGCGAACCAAGGAAATTTGCAAATCCTAGTCCCATCTGCATCGAAAAGGTTGCGTTAAACGGTTATGCGCGGAAATCGCACGACGCGCTCAGGGGCTGGAATGGTTTGACAATGACGATCAAAATCACGAGCTGGACCATCAGTCGCGGAGATGAGCAATATCGCCCCTAAGGGCAGCTCAAGTTCAGCAGTGGTGTTCGATTCCCCGCTGAGACGCCCGCCATCGCGCGGGCCACCTGGGCCGCGTCGTCGAGGCGGGGGGTGCCAGCCGCCCGCGCGGATGGTCAGGAAATGAATTGTATGTGCGCCCCACTCCGCCCATGCCAGGAACAAGTCTCATCGCTTGCGGCCGAGATGCACCGGGGGGGTCTAGACGCAGCGAGCGGGCGGCCGCGGGGGGGGGGGCGAAGTCGCAACGTGGAATTATCGGGCCCACCCGCCTCCCCAGGCCCCGAAGGGCGCCCCCAGATGTCCCGGGGCTCTCCTGGGACACTCCCGCGACGCTCCCGGGACGCTCTCGGGGCACTCCTGGGGCGCTCCCGGGACATTCCCGGGGCGCTGCGCCAGGTCTGTTTGCCCCAGCATTTCGAAATCCGCCCCGAGCATTCCCGCGGGGGCCTTT